ACAAAAATAGTGTATGCGTGGCCATGACAAGGAAGTTGCATGCATTTCTTTCCATTCAGCGTCAGCGGATGACAGCGACGTAAGTTTGACGTTGATCGACAACTAATCGGTTAACCTTACTTTTTTCAAATGATTTATTTATTTTAAAAAGGAAATGACTAATGTTTCCACTATCATTGATGTTTCTTAAAAAAAACGTTTTAATTTTATGTGCAACTATTTTAATTTTATTTTTCATCACTACAAACTATTTAAGGTCAATTTTGCCATCAAACAGTGCACTGAATCCTATCCCATTGACAATAGAAGAAAAAATCCAGATAGAGTTGAAAAATTTGCCTGGAGACTACAAAGTACCATCTTTGATCGAACATAAGACGTTTCACAGATTTGCAAGTAACATTAAAAGGGTTCCATTTGAATTGAGCAGTGAGAATTTAACAAAATTATGGAGCAAAGTAAATACTTGGGTTACAAAAACCCAAATATTCGATATGAGCAACCCAAATATAGGCAGAGCTTTATATGCTTTGAAAAATGCAAAAATTCTAAAAGCTGATCTAGACACCAGAGGTACTCAGCTAAAATTCACATTTATTTTAGAAGTAAGTAATATCAAACTTTGTTTCTCTGCTAAGACATATACTTTGAATGATATTTTAGGGTGATCAACAAGTTATATTTAAACCTCAATTTTATCAAAAGAACAAAATTATAGAAGGACCTGTATATGCTGGCAAAGACAGATATAGCTCAGAAATTCTAGGCTTCTATCTTTCAGCCATATTAAATAAACCTTTATCTCCAATAAGCGTTAAAAGGACAATATCTCTAAAGCAAGAGGTTTTACCTGTGGCAACTAAACAACTGTTGGATACTACTTTCATGATTCAAAATAGGACATGCATTTATGGCAGGTGCTTTTTTTGTAAGAAAGAAGACCCAGTCTGCAGTGATGAAAATTCTTACTTAAGTGGAGCTGTGATATTTAATATTAAGGGGCATTTAGTAAGTAATAGGTCTCCATGGCAAAGGACCTATAAGAAGGGCAAGAATGCTATTTGGCAGGAATTACCAGAAAAGTATTGCATGTATGTTATTTATAACTAATAAGGCAATATATATCTGCTTATACTTAAGGAAAACAGTGATATTGCTAGTATTCAATATATTGTTGAAACTCTAGTTTCATACTCAAAAGACTTACTTGTAATCAATATATTTTAATTATAGAAACCAAAATCTGTTTTGATATTATACTTACTTTTATAAACAATAGGGGAATCAAAATCCCCATTTGCATTCTATCATGAAAAAAATACACTGAATGTGTCCTTTTTTGTGTTTATTTACTATACTGGGTGTCCTACATAAAACTGCAAAAAGCTTCATAAGATATGAAAATTTGGGTTTGTAGTATAAAGGGTAGGAGCCACACTGCCAAAATATCTTCAAAATTCTGTGGGTTATACTGGAAGTAAATACCATCTTGCTTATTTTAAATAGGACAGTCTGTGTGTTTTTCATTTTTTATGCAAGATTCTAAATTCATTTCTTGCATATCACTTTATACCTAGGTCTATCCATTTTTTATATATCTCGCTAGTAAGGATATCATGCTATCCACATATAATGGTTAACTGAGATTATCTTATGTTAAAAGCCATATGGAGCATTTAGGCAAGAGAAATACATGATTTCCATATATAATAAGTAGACAACCTTTTTATACAAAAACCACCATGAAGGCCTCAGGCCCAAACACCCATAGGTTCCAAGGAGCTATAATGCCATAGAGATCCGAAAGCCTTTCGCATTGCAGTATAGAAGATGTTGTATTTTGAATATGCAAGTTGGTGTTGCGGTACAACAGCCGCCATTTTGAAAATATTTTAGCCATATTGCTCAGTTATACTATGATTCCATACATTAATAATTGAACTAAATTTCATCAAGTTTTGAGTAACTGGTTGCATCAGTTCTATGTGGGACACTCTGTATACGATATGTGAAGGATATGTTTTGTATTTAGTCATTTGTACCATATAATTTTTATATGAGTAAGCACCATTTAACTGCAAGGTCAATGTCACATTATCAGCATATACTGTGATCGGTCAGTATTTATCATAGAATGAGATATTTATTGATCCTGTAGCCAGGACATCAATAATTATTCAGCTGGTCCAGACCACAGTATATACTGAACATGTGACATCTGCCTGAAAAACAAGCTTAAGTAGTGGTATTTGAGCAAAAAATAATGTAAACTCATATGTTTACAAATCTATTCAAATCGAATTTATATTTTTAGGAGCTTAAAGGAAAAAATGTCCAAGAGAAGGCTGTATGATCTTATTGATATATCTATATTTGATTTTCTCATACAGAATGGTGATAGACACCATTATGAAACATTGAATGACACAGTAGTTTGGTTAGATAATGGAAAAGGCTTTGGAAATCCTCACATACACCATATTGATATTTTAGCACCTTTATACCAGTGCTGCATGTAAGAATATCTTTTTGGGTTTTATGTTTTTTTTTGTCATTCCTACCTTAAAATTGTCATCACGATCAAGGTTTAGTAAAGAAAAGATTTTTGATACTTCACTTATATTCATACAGTAATGGACAAAAGTATATAGACACATCTGAATATTTACCTAAATACCTTTAGAAAACGAATTCATACTTCATTGCTCCATAAACAAATGCGTTATTAGTAGAAAAACTAAAATCCTTGTTTTAACATTATCTGCAATGAACACAATACAAGTCTGAATATAAGCACTTTTTTAAGAGGCACAAAAATATGTAGACAAATTCTCTTCAACATTAGTTTAGTACAGTTTCGTGTCAGAAGAGGATTAGTTTGTGTTCATCAAGTATTGTGGATTAATTTGAGTGATTTTAAGACCTTGCCGCGTGGTCCAGAATTTATTTCTGTGTGAAAACTAAGATCATTGAGTTATACAAAGATGGTCAACATCAAGTCGAGAAAACAAAAAATTTGAAGCTGAAGCGTAAGCAGTTTGGGTAATATTGAACAAATATAAACAAAAGGTATCTTGGAAGCCTCTGAGAGAAGTGGTCGGCCTAGGAAACTAAATGCTAGATCAGTTAGATTAATAAAAGTAATTTCGTCCAAGGATCCGTTTAAAACTCCAAAACAAATAAAAGCCGAAATCGAGACAAAAGGAATTGTCAGTGTTTCTACGAAAACTATAAGTAGAAGATTAAATGATTTGAATTTATTTGCACGTCGCCCGTGTAAAAAGCCGCTAATCTCGAGGAAAAACCGTAAGGACCGAATACAATTTGCATGGCTGCATCTTGATTGGAGCATCTATGACTGGAAGAGGGTACTTTTCAGTGACGTATCCAAGTTCAGTTTGTTTGAATCAGAAGGTGTTCATTACGTTAGACGTACTAGTACACAAAGATTGAACCCCAAGTACACTTTGGCCACTGTCAAACATGGAGGCGGGTCTGTTATGGTTTTGTGGTGCTTTTCGGGGTTTGGGATGAGAACTTTACATAGAATAGATGGCATTATGGATAAGTTTGTACGTATATACACATGTTACCCTATATGGAAGACAATATGCCCTTAAGATCAATCTTCCAGCAAGATAATGACCCGAAGCACACTTCGTATCTCGCAAAGAAATTCTTTCTGGATGAAAAAATACCAGTAGCCTTCACAGTCTCCCGATATAAATCCCATTGAAAATCTATGCGAATACTTAGATAAGCAAATACGAGAGATAAACATTATTTAAACAAGGTTGAACTTTTTGTCACTTTAGAGCAAAAGTGGAGACAGGTTGATGAATCTTATATCAAGAAACTTCTACTATCTATGTCGAGACGATGCCAGGCGGTGATTGATAATAATGGTTATGCTACAAAATATTAACACAAACATGGTTGGTTTTCTATAATTCAATGAACCTTCTTTTTTCTATAATTGTTTTGCTTTGTCTATATATTTTTGTCCTTCATAGTTCCAGTTTTTTTTCAATTGATTTCTTATTGAAGGGAGTCTAATGAATTTATTTATGTATAAGTGAGTATTATGTATACAGGTTGGTGTATTAATAAAACAAGTTAAAAAGGAAATATTAATTTGTCTATATACTTTTGTCCGTTACTGCATGTCTACACCAGCATCGAGGTAGTACCTTATGGATTGGTTAAACCTAGATTGTTATAGTCATGTTATTTTGAACCTTATTATTTATCTCTACGATCCACTGGTGTGCTCTTATAGTTATAAGTTCAGTTCAGTTTTAGGATAGCAGTAAAAGGCATTATCAAAATTCAGACAACCCCATATAAATTTTTAGATAATCTGTTCAATCAAATAGATGTTATTTTTATAAACAATTTTTCCAGATTAAGAAGAGACACTTGGAAGACTTTACTTAGTCTAACTGGTGGCAAATTGAAAGAGATGTTAAGAATGATGCCAGATATAGAGAGTATAATTACGCCTGATCATTTGGAGGCTTTGGACCAACGACTTTTGCTGATATTTGCAGCAGTTGAGTATTGTAGACATCATAAGCAAGGAGAACATACTTTTATATGAAAGTATATATTTTAACATTTGTGTTGATTTTACATTGAATCAAGCCTAGATACCCTATTTTCCAAATTGAAATATTTTGCCACATCCCATGAAGGCAGCCATGGATTAACATATTCTACCTAAATGAGATATAGTAGGGTGATCTATGAGAATTTGACACAGCTCTTGATCTATTTATTGCATATGCTTTGAAAAGGTTAATGTCTCGTGGATGGGTCTGTGGACTAACTGTAAATATATGAGCATGTAGGTGGCTCCATCTATGAGACATTCACTTTTTAAAACTACAGATAGTAATAGAGATAAACTCTCATAGATGATGCTACGATCTGTCATTTTATCTCAGATAATTTTTTGGACGCCGGAATATACTATCAGAACTATACTAGTAGAATATGTTACTCAATGATTTAACTGAAGATTAAAATGAGTTGAGTGTATCATTTTACCTAATCGATATATTTTGCGCATGAGTGAAATTTGATTAAAACTGTATTTAAAAAAGATTATTTATTCTCAATACTTATTTACAAAATCTAGATAACTCAATTAATATTACTTAATAATCCTCTTATAAATAAAATTTGAAAACCACAGGCTTCCAACTAAGAAGTGCAGAACTGCCATGATCCGGAACATCACCCGAAATGTTGGATCTGGATAAAAAAAAAATTGATTTGATAGTGAAAATAGAATAGAAAAAATAATTTCAACTTCATTGTCTATATTAGTCTGCTCAGGAAACATGATTTTCATATATAATTGTTATATCACTTGATTTCATTTATTTTTCTAAAAAATGACCAGTGTTAAAATAAATAACATGCAGGTGTTTCACTAGTACTGCTGGCTCTTGGAAAAGTCAATAATAACTCTATTTGCTTTGGAACTTTGTCTAGATGTCTCAAGTCAGAAAATAATTTTAAGACATCTACTATATCTGTACATTTAAGAAACTTACTCATGAATAGAAACAGTAAAAATGCACAGCCAGTTAACGTGCAAATCAAGGAGTACTCTTGATTTGCCTCTCCTCTTATCGTAAGTCCTAATAACGGCATTCCAACGTATTGCAAAGTTGCAATGCTCAATATAACTTGTACTGCGCCAAAAGTGAGGACTTGTTTATTGGTCGAGTCGGATACCACTGAAAAAATACCATGTTGTTAATCTTATTAAATTTTTCGAATGTTGTTTGACTTGAACTTTGTAGCGTGTGGGAGTTCAGATCATCAAAGACATGACTTGGTGACGGCACGTGATTTGAACTTCAAACTGAAACGAATGGCTTCTTGACATCTATCAAACCAGCAAGAGAATGCACGACAACGAATTACGATGTTTTCAGACATTGTTAAATAAATATTTGGGCGGGTATTCTTGACGATCAGGTAATTGGCCCTTTCGAGTTACCCCCAAAGTTGTCAGGAGAAGGATACCTTAGCTTTCTAGCCAATAACCTACCAGAACTTTTCGAATAGACATTAGACAACATGCCATTACAACGGAGATAGAATTTGTGATTTCTTCATGACGGGGCACCACCACATATTTTTAGAGGCATCATTCAGTATTTGAATGAACATTCTCCAAGTCGCTGAATCGGTCGAAATGCCCCTGATCCTCGAAAATGGCCAGCAAGATCTCCTGACCTCAATCCGATGGATTTCTGGTATTGGGGAGAACTTAAAGGGATGGTTTATGGGGCTGGCCCAATAACAACTGAAGCACAACTTCGCGAAAAAAAATTTAATGCGGCTGAAATAATAAATGGACAACTTCGACGACCTAGACCTAGAGTAAGAAGAAACTGGGTTCGTCGTAATGAAGCTTGTATGGAATGAATGAATGAATGAATCTTAAAATTAGAGGCATCCCGGCCACCATAAGGAGCCAGTGCATAGGCCGCTTAAGCGGGCCCTTATGCACCTCTACAATCCTTAAATCACAAGCCTCGGCCTTTTAGCGATGTTGAGAATCGCCTTGAGTCCAAGCTCCTTGACGTCCTGAGGGTCCAAAGTAAAGGACCCCAGTATAGTCTGCCTATAGTAGCTCAGAGCTTCACAGCGACACAAAACGTGCGCCGAGGTCTCTTCCTCCACTCCGCAGCGTTCGCACAAGGGATCCTCAGCCACCCCCATCACGTTCAGGTGCCGCCTTAACGTGTTATGTCCAGACAACAGTCCTACCAGTAACCTTAGGTTGGCTCTACCCAGAGATAGACAGAAGCGTCCATCCTTAGCACTGGGCCCTTCAATGAGCTCTCGTGCCTGGCGGAGATGTCTAGAGATACTTCTCCATTTCTGAGAGTGTTGTCTTGCAACCCACGTCTCCATTTTCCTCCTAGCTTCATGTGCGGTCACTCCTAGAGCTGGCTCAGGACCAACGAGCTTTCTGGCTGATCCTGTTTTCGCCAGAGTGTCCGCCGTCTCATTGCCCCTTATCCCAGCATGCCCCGGTACCCATATTAACGATACCGGATGCCTCGCTGCGAGGCAATACAGAGCCTCCCTGCATTGCAATACAAGACTCGAGGTAATCTTACAGGCACTTAGTGCTTTCATTGCAGCCTGGCTGTCGGATAAGATTGTTATTCTTCTCCTAGGCCCACCCTCCTCCAGAATGTGAGATACACAAGCCAGAATCGCAAAGATTTCCGCCTGGAAAATGGTGGTGTATCCACCGAGAGGCAGAGATAGCCTAGTTCTAGGCCCAGAGACCCCAGCACCTGAGCCCTCTTCGGTGACCGAGCCGTCCATGTACCAGACATGCCCGCTCACTTCGGAGAGTCCCCGGCTACCGGCGTCCCACTCCTCCCTCGTTGGATACTCCACAATAAACTTGCGGTTGAAGCGATATTTAGGGGTAATACGATCACCCCTGCTTAGAAGCTTGTATGGAAAGTGGAGGACGACATTTTGAACACCTTCTTTATATACAAAAAAGTGCAGTGTGGGTTTTAAAAGGAAAAAACAATGTGTTCCCTATTTATAAGTGGATTTTTCTAATACGTTCAATAAACTTTCACACACCAGGTGAAGCGCTGAGACAGTTAGTGGTAAGTCCGTTTTTTTTAATTGTTTGCATTTTACGAGTACATTATCAAATAATGAAATAATACCTAAGAACCAAAAATAACAAACACCATCTTTATTTACACTGCGTTCCGTCGTAATTTGCGTCTGACATTGCGGTGTTGTCAGATTTTATTTTAAAGTCGCTTTTCTCTAAAAAAATTCCGTTTTGACCGCCATGTTATATGAAACTTTTTGCTTCTTTTAACCCCCTCTATCACCCATTTAAATAATGTCTATCATAACGTTTACACCCTGTAGGTATTGGGTAGTAATTTAGAATACATTCATATAAATTTTGTCTAAAAATTGTTATTCACGCGACACAACAATTATAGCATAATTTGCAATTATTTTAATCAATATTATAAGCTGTCTTGTGTGTAGGGTAAACGACTAATGTCGATCGAAGGGTTCTCGATAGGTGGTATTATGCACCTCATACGAGCAAATCATCTTCGAGAAGGATCTGACAGCGGCGACAGGTTTTCAGAAGATACCGACACACCTTTCGGTTCCTGTGGAACCACTTTCCCTCTTGCAGTCTTTTGCTGGGCAGATGTTAGTTGCAGTACTTACTAAAATATCCGAAACAGCCAACCCAACACAGGAACCACAGACATATCGGTCTTCTGCTTTTCTCTATATTCATCCAAAATGATACACCAGAAAACAACAAAGTACTGAGGGATAAGACACCCATCAGTGCTGCTACACACCATGCATTCTCAAACCATCAAGCTCTTGGTACAAATAGCTTGGAAACAACGTGTAGAATATAAAAATTGAATATTTGGTTGTAATCACTGTTAGGAGTGATTTGTAAAACGTTGGTTGTTTTAGCATTTTAAAGCTGACGAACTTTGAGCTGTTTCGCTAACCGGCATAAAAACTGCAGGTTCTGGAGCCACATCTGGGGGTTCCAGGACCTCATAAGAGTAAGTGTTGTTGTTGTTGACGGGCGAATCTGAAAATAGAGGCATTGGCGTATGACCGTTGCTTATTTTGAAGGTGCCGATCCTATCTTTTCCTTCATTGGTATCTTCATCTGCATCCTCGAATTTTCCCAATTTTCTTTTGGTTTTACTTGTTCTGTGTCATCGAAAGTTTCCCATTCGCGCTTTGGTATGGCATTTTCATTGGCTACGTCCTCAAATGTCACCCCAATTTTTGGTAGATTTGTTGACAGAGTCTGAGTTATTTGTGGTGTCATTAGAAGTTGATGGAATTTCGTGACGTTCAATAGTAACTGTGGATCCGTTGTCTTGACGTTTAATTTGTAGTTCTCTCGAGTTCTTCGAAAATATGTCTTCTTCGTCATCGGGATTCGCCTGGAATCAGGAAGAACATGTGGTTTCGTTTAAAGAAACATTGAAAAGCTTAAGAGAATATCAAAAATTCTATAGTGCCTGGGGTTAATTTTGATGTCGCAACAGTTTCAGTTCGAACTTGTCATCAAATTAAAGATCTGTGTCCTGACATACCGGGTTTTCGTCATGAAAATTGCAGATATGAGGATTTTTGTAACTTTTCTCATATTACACGTCTCATAATGAAGCTATTCTGCTTTGCCCGAACATTTCTGTTCTCGTTCCCCATGACTACAAGCAAACGAAACTCGATACACGTAAGTACGAAAGAATTTTTGAAAATTTTTCCATAATACAGCGCATAATGATGAGTAAACGAAGTTCAATATTTGCGTTGGTAATTTGAGTAGCTGATTTCGACTAAGGTTATCAAAAAATGATGGAGAAGAGACGTACATGTGAAGAATTTAGTCGAAAAACTGACATCAGATTTGTGATCTACGCACCAGATTCTCGCAAGAAAGGGATTTCTCAAAACTTCCCTATGATACGTACAGTGTGTTCATTTGAAATCTTCCCACCACGGATTGATCGAATACCACTGATTTAAAGAAAAAACGCCGAGAGAGGGGGACAACTTTTTAACCAAAAACTACTTCACCCCCTTCCTCTTTCTGCCCCCAGGGACAGCCCTTGAAATTTTATATGGCAAGGGGTATCTAGTAATAGCTTGTTTGAAAGGTATTTCGAAGTCCTTTATTTGACGTTTCATTTTTTAAAATTGGTCGATTCGTTTTCAAGAAAATTAGAAAAATCTTTATTTACCTTAATTTGTTCAGATAGAAAACAAAAACACAGGATATTATCAATTTTTATTTCAATAAGTGTTCAAAATGTTGCCCGTTGTTGGCCAAACATTGATATAAGGCGATGTTCAAATTCCTGGCGGACATTTTCAAAAACGTGTTGTGGGCTTTTGATGATGCATTGACGAAGTTCATCCAAACTTTCAGGTTGAGGAGTAGACACAATAGATTTCAAATGGTCTCAAATCAGAAGATCTAACAGGCCATCCGTCTCTACGACTAGACTAAGACCTATGCCGCACTGGCGAGGTGCTAATGAGCTCAAAACGCCGCTGTCCGCGGTTGGCCATGGTTACAGGAGGCGGAAAGCAAACGTGTCCATTTTCAGACTCCTATGGTTGCTTTATGAAATGCTCAAAGACAAGCTGGTATAAGCATGGGGCAAACGTTTAACGGACGATTGTTAGAACTATACTGAGCACTATACTGTCTGAGTATGTTACGTTTATTTTTAAAATACCGCTCCATTTAGGAAGCTAGCAAACCTTGCGAATATTATTAGAAACTATTACAAGTGGAGTTCCTGAACCAACAAATTCGTTCAAAACTACTACCTCCAGCTAGAATCTAAGGCTCAAAATCTTCTAACAAAAATGTCCTGTGTATCTAAAAATGTACACGTCTCTAAGGAGCACCGCAAGCATGCAGCAGGTTATGTTGACATTTGCGACGTGTATGTATATATATAGGGTGTTCATTTGAAAACTTCCCACCACGGATTTATCGAAAACCACTATTAAAAGAAAAAACACCGTGATACATCAAAACATTGTCAAGGAGGACAACTTTTTAACCAAAACAACTTCACCTCCTTTCAACCTCTGCCCTCCAGGATCATCCCGTTAGGAATTTTAAATCACATGGGGTATCGAGTAATAGCTTGTTGAAAGGTATTTCGAAGTCCTTTATGCTTTATTTATCTTAATTCTCCGCCCTGTTAATTTATCTGGAAACTCGTCGTCTAGCCATTGCCGAACCGGAAGAACATAGTGAGGAGGAGCGCCGGCTTGCTGGCAATATATTTCAGCCTCATCGAGTATAGGGTTTCCATCATCTTAGGTTTGGTTTCAGTGATAAGCGGATTGATGGTATTTTCCAACATATCCATTCAAATTTCCATTAATAAACAATGACCCAATCACTTTTTTCCCTAAAATGCCTGCCCATACATTAATGTCTTGGGGTACTGGGTATGTCCTTCTACAAAAGGATGAGGATTTTCATTGTTCCAATACCTGCAGTTATGCTTATTAACAAATCCATTTAGATAAAATGTGCATTCATCACTGAAGCAGATGTTCTTTACATGAATGGTATTATTTGTTTACAAAACTCAACTCGTCTATCGAAATCAGCTTCGTTTGACTGTTGCAATATTTTTATTTTGAATGGATGAAATTTATGGAGTTTAGTAACTGTGAGTACAGAGCCTAATTAAATACCAGTCGCAGCAACCATTTTGCGTAATGAAGTATTACGATTTATTATAAAACTTCAACTTGAGCAGCTTCATCCAAAACTCTCCGATGATCACGATTTTTCTTTGTAACAGATTGAGTTTAAGTAAATTTAGTAACAAGGTCCAAAACATACCTTCTCCAGATGTCTGGCGTTAAACTATACAGCCGTTTGCCAAGCGCATTGATTTTGGGCACCACACATTAGAATCATTTCCACTCTTTTAACTAGTGTGCGAACCATTTTGGAAGTAAAACCTGAATCAATAAATTAATTTTCACTACAAAGGTAACTGACGGCAAATTAAATTCTTTCTTTCCCTTAACAACAAATAACTAAACAGGTATAACAAATAAATACAGTTCGCCCATGATATCTGTGTTGAAAAGAATGCGGAAAAAATTCGGGTTGTTATTTGGTTGTTGCCACGTCTAATCTTCCGAATTGCTGTTTATGTTGGTAGTTTCCTATTTAAATTATGAACGAATTGTGGATTTGGAAAACCCTTATGGACAACATTTTGAACACCTATTGAAATAAAAAGTGATACTTTCGTGAGTTCTTGTTTTCTATTTGAACAAATTAAGATAAATAAAGATCTTTCTAATTTTGTCGAAAACGAATCGATTGATTTTATAAAATCGAACGTCAAAATAAAGGACTTCGAAAGATCTTCCAAACAAACCATTAGTAGATACCCCTTGTCATTTAAAATTTTTCAGGGAATGGCCCTGGGGGGCCGAAAGTGAAACGGAGTGAAGTAGTTTTTGGTTAAAAAGTTGTCCTCCTTGACAAATTTTTTGACGTATCTCGGCGTTTTTTCTTTTAATCAATGGTTTTTGATAAATCCGACGTGGAAAGTTTTTCAGTATAATTATAACGAGTAAAGGAAATTCTACAAAAACTTACCGTCACATAGTTGTATCTGTTTGCTCTATACTTCGATTTCAAATAGGCGGGCTTCTTGAAAGTCAAACTGCAAACCAATCCTTGTAAAATAATTGCTTGGTACCACAAAGCACATTTAATATGCTGGAGTTCAATATGTGATGTCCAATGACGATGGGAGCTGCAATGAATCCTAGCGCAGTAACTGCCTGGGTTATGTAGGCTAATATTGTGTGTTTTGATTTGAAATATTGTGCCAGGAGAATTTCACATTGTGATATCAGGATTGAAGCTCCCCCGCCTAAAAAATCATGAGAAAATCATTAAAAACCCAAACTTCGTAGAAAAATGGTTATGCTGGTTTTTTGTTTTGTTGCAAATTCGGTAGGTTATACCATTGATTACAGGTATTCTCCAAGATGCCAAACAATATGCTGTATTAGAACGTTTACATCATCACACCTACGTTGCTATTAGAAATAATAAAAATAGACTCAATTTCTCTTCCAAAGAGAATTGTTTATTCTTGAACACGACGTCAGTCTCCAAGGAAGGGTGGCGGATTCGAACCTCCGCCTCGGAAGTTAATTCCGAGCCATGGAAGTTGAATTGTGTGTTTATGGACTGATGAGTCGACATTTAAGGTGGACGGTTACATGAATCTACACAACTTGCTCGAGTGACATGTAGAAAATCCAAATTTGATGAGACAAGATAGATTACAGTATCGTTTTATAGTAAAAATGTGGACTGGGATTCTAAATGGGAGAATCATTGTACCCTTTGAGCTAACCAGAGTTCTAAAATGGCGAAATTTATTCAGACTCTCAAAAAAATCATTAACCAATTTTATTAACAGACGACCCACTAAGCATTTACCAAAACATGTATCAGCAAGACGGCTGCCGGTTCAGTTAGAGAATAGCTTGATGCGAAATATTAGAGCAGGCGAACACGATCTGGTACAATTTCGTGGCCAGCCCGTTCACCTGACTTAAGTACACTCGATTTTTTTTACTGGGAGTGGTGAAAGAAAAAGGTTACTCAAAGCCAATCCTAGTCTGCTACGGGACCGAATAACTGAAGATTCGAGCGTCTGATAAGCCGATCATTTTCAAGAGGTCAAGTTTGTATTGCTGCTGAAGGAAGGGAGTTTGAACATTTATAGTAAGTTTATTAAATATATTCACGAATTGATAAAAGTGACTATACTATCTGTCTTGATATCACTGCGTCTAAGAAAAAAATTGAAATTTGTAATAATGGGAACTAAGAGATCATCACAGGGTGTATATTTTTCCAATTTTTTTGTAAAACCTATATATTTTTCTGATAACTATTATGACTTGGCCTATCCCCCGTTTCCAGCTTGACTCCGACTTCCGGGATGCACCAGATCTGTGCAAGATTAAGATGTACATCGCATCGCATTGGGCAGTTTCTGGTATAATGTGTTGATCAATGGTTATAACTTGGACCACTCGAATAAGGTGACGAGTGCGTTTAGAAATTGGTGCAACATTCTTTAGTGATACATCTTCAAATATCAGTGTCCGAAATCTAGGAACCAAACTAGTCGAATGCTTTCATAGCATGATGAATGTGTACAGAAGAGTAAATATAGAAAATTGTATTTGACAACATATCCACGGCCACGCAAAATCCTCGGCTGAAGGAGCCCCAGAGCACAACGAAGTCCGGGTCCCTGTCCTGGGGAAAATCGAAGAGAGCGTGAGAAATGATATAAAAGACTTTTTTTGAAATTTCGTTTGAATTTTGGGCATTTGGAGACCCCATCAAACCTTCTTAGATACTGACCCTGTGTGCCTAAAGCGTAGGATGGAATAGAACACATCCCCAGTCAACAGTTGTATGTACGAGAATAACCTGTCGAATTTTAACATATAATGCGCATTTCGTGGATTATGGGGCGCCGTACATAAAACTACTTACCAGAAAGTAGACCTGCTAATGTGTACAACGAACTCTCTCCGTATCCTGCCATGCCCATCCAAAGGAACAGAAGTCCCGCGCATGTCAAGCATGTTCCTGCCACAGAAACCAAACGTGGCCATCTGCTGGTTGATATCAATATCCTCGATGCAGGATCTGCAAACATTCTGCTCATATGTGTTTTGTGAAGAAAGTTTATGAGGCTGGGTATATGGCATGATCCTCAAAGGTGTGTATTATTGTCGGTTTTTTGATGGTAGCAATATAAGTCGCCAATCTGAGTCGAGAAGGCATTTAGGAGGAGATTTACAATTGGTAATGAAGTATTGTAATTGCGAAAAATTTTGAAAATGGTGTATGTTTTTTGGATGATACATCACGAAAAACCACATTACTCTTCTCCGGCGGTCCGTCTGTCTACCCACGAATCCTCGACCCCTCTATAACTTGTAAAGTTATCCTGAATAGGTTGAGTAAATGGTGCGTTTCAACAAACTTAATATAAACATAGCGACATGTAAAATTTTGAGCTTTATTCGCAAGCTTAATCCTATCCTGTTTACTTACTACATTGATAACACCAATCTAGAGAGATGCCAGACATTCAAAGATCTAGGGGTTATATTTGACAGTAAATTGACGTTCTCTGATCATATAAGTGAAATGGTATCTGTAATAATGTTTTTCATTCGTGTTTTAAATGCATCGTGAAAATGAACTTTTCTACACAAGAACATAAAACTTGATGTTATTATTGAATGTTCCGGTGATTGGTTGCAAACCTATTAGAACACGGATTATTATTATCAAAGTATAAAAGTTTATCAAGGACGATAAAGCTTTGTTGTTTTTGAAAATCGATATTCACTTCCAACCCTGACAATTCTACACATCTATTATAATAGATAAATATTTTCAACAGCCGCCTCGAACATAAGGAGGTATACCTGTGTTGGAGGCTAACCGCTGGCGTGCAATGTTTAGCAACGTTGCCAAATGATCGCTACTGTTGGTAGTGCAAGGCAGACATTTCTAGATCGCAAGTTGTGGAGACTAATTGTATACATATTTCGTAGCTAACTTTTGTTTTCAGAGGGGTTACCTTGTACCGAACGTGATCGTTTATGAACTGGTGGCAGCGTTGCGTGGGAAGTGCAGAGTCAACCTCTTTACTGTAATTTTTAGTCAAAGATTGATGTTGAAATGTGGGCGTCGCACAGTGGCAAGGATTCAAGTTCACTGACTTTGCCGCATAGATTCGGTTGCATTTGATCCATGACCTGGGTTATGTCATATTTGAAAGCATCTGTCGATTGCGGCTTATTAGTAGAGACTTGATGACGACCAGGATCGCCTATTCTTTAAAACGAGGAAGTAGAATCAACAAGAGAAGGTGGGCGGGGTTCTCTTACTTTTCGGGAAACTCAATTCCTGAACACTGGTAAAACAGTCGCTCCCCGGATATTTCGCAGTCCTCCATTAATCTCATCTCAAAAGTCAACATTTTGATAAAGTGTTTTATGATATGAAGAATATAGAAGCATACTATTTTGCCGACCTTATCTGACAACGTCACCAACTTTGGATTCCTAAGAGAGCATTCTATTCTACTGCGCTCAAGAATTGACGTCCAGTTGACAATGCATCTCACCAAAAGGTGCTAAAACATGTATTTTTATACCTGACTATACCGCGGAAATCAATTTAAGTAAATGATGATAAGTGGTCTTTTATATATCGTTTTATAATTGTTCGTACACTTTACTGAAATAAAAAATTCATTACCGAGATTCTTGTTTCAATTGATCGACCACTACCATATACATATTTGCCTTAAATATACTAATTTGGCAATAAAATGGTTTTAATGTAATGTAAATAAAACTAAATTATTTATTGAAAACATATAAAAGCTACCGACAAATGTCCATGTTGCTATAAAAGCAGTGGGGTATAAAGTAGCCTATCATCCCATAGTTTTGGATTAGAATCTTCTTTGCTTAAGTTTGGTAGCCTTGAAAAAGCAAGAAACATGCCAAAACTGACTGCAAGACTTGGGATCAGTGTCTGCAATGAAGATTTGAGGAATTTTCAAGTTATAAATAAACATCTTGAAAAAATGCCATGTTTTCTTAATAAATACTAAATCGTTGTATAACGTTTCGACGTTATTGACGTATTCTACCTGAAGATAGCCGAACATATGATATATATACAGGGTGGCGCATCGAAAACGAACACGCATTTACTGGCAGCTTAGGTTTTTTTTGAAAAACGCTCAGACCCGTCGATTTTGTTTTCGAGGGGGACACAAGTTTGGCAAAAATCACGTTAACACGTGCAGCCCCCTGGGCGGGGGTGACACCAACCCTAAAATCTTAAATGGAAAGGGGGGTCGACTGATACCTTATTTTAAAGGTATTTCAATTCCCTTTATAACGATATAAAATTAATGTACTTCAGTTCAGTAGTTTGAATATTTATTGATTTAAAGCTTAAATAAAACATACATCATCATTAGTGGAGATCAATACATTTGGCAGCAATGTAATTTAAAAATGAAGAATGAACTGACCCGTTAGGCAAGTAAATGTTGAAAATGTCCACCATGACTCTCCATGCAATAATAAAGATTTTGCTCAAAACGTTGTCGCACATTTTGCAATATTTGAGGAGTAAACTCATTCACACATCTTTGTCGCAGGTCTTCTAATGATGTTGGCTGAGTAGCATAGATTTTGCTTTTCAAATGACCCCACATAAAGAAATCCAAAGGTGATAAATCTGGCGATCTTGGGGGACATTCAATGGCACCTCTTCCACCAATCCATCGATCTGGAAACGTCTGATCTAAATATTGTCGAACACGTAATGCGTAATGTGGTGAGGCACCATCCAGTTGGAACATCAACCTATTCGCAATGTACCGCCGATCATTCTGATTTTCAATTATGGCTGTTAATGCAGGATCTATGGCGTCTTCCAGTAATTCCAAATACATTTCACCGGTCAAATTTCCAGGTAAGAAAAAAGGACCAACTAAATGATCGCCAAAAATACCAGCCCAAACATTTAATTTTTGTGGCTGCTGTGTATGAACCTCATGATAAATTCTGGGATTAGAATCGGACCAATATCGGCAGTTATGACGATTTACTACGCCATTTAAGAAAAAGGAACATTCGTCGGAAAAGCAATTGTTGAATAGAAAATGTTCATCGTTTATAATTCGTTCACCATATCTCCACAAAATTGTAATCGCCGATCAAAATCGTCTTCATTAAGTTCTTGTACCAGGTGAATTTTATACGGATGAAAACTATGGGCCTTTAGAATCCGTTGGACAGTACGTCGACTAACACCACACACAGTCTCCAATTTGCGGGTACTTAACGTAGGATCTACATAAACTTGCCCTAAAACTCCCACTTCTATTGCTTCGTTCCTATCGGATTTTCAATGTGCGTTTTTATTGGCGACTGACCCAGTTTCCCGAAATTTAGCTACAAGTTCTAGAACATATTTTCGATGCACGTTACGGTTATCATGTCGCTCATTAAATATTTCTGCTGTTCTATTAGCGCACTGATTATTTCCGAAAAATATTTCGATAATTTCAACTCTTTCTGCTGTGGAATATACCATGGTTAATTTATGTAATAAAGCGTTACAAGTTATTTTAGCAACAAAGTTTGGTCAAATCAATCGCAAACTATGTACTAAATTCCTATTTAAAATAAGTACGAGATATTTCCTTATCTTTCTTCAAAAATAACTTTTTTGCCACAAAAAAACGCTCCAATAGCTATTTTCAACAACAAATGATAAACAAACCATGGGCGTAGTGAAGAAAAGCATTTACTTATTAAGTAAATTCTTTCAGTCAAATTTCTTCTGAAAGTAGTACAACCTAATCTGATGTCCCTATTAAAGTCTACTTTAAGCTTCAAATCAATAAATCTTCAAAACTACTGAACTTAAGCGCGTGTATTTTACATCATTATAAAGGGAATTGAAAGACCTTTAAAATAAGGCATCACTAGATCCCCCTTTCCATTTAAGGTTTTAGGGTTAGTGTCACCCTTACCCAGGGGGCTGCACGTGTTAACGTGATTTTTTGCCAAACTTGTGTCCCCCTCGAAAACAAAATCGGTCTGAGAGTTTTTCCAAAAAAAAACAGCTGCCAGTAAATGCGTCTGTTTCGTTTTCGATGCGCCACCCTGTATATATGAGCAGTAGTCATTGGGATTGCCAACAACCAGTTGGGCAAAAAATACAATTAATTGTTAATCGGGAAATTGGCAAACTTTTTAGGCTTTAGGCCCGTATCGTCAGTCGTCCCTACAATTGTAGGGCGCCTTTATGGCCTCCTTGATTGTCATAGTTTTCCACTTCTCCCTGTCAGCGCTCTATTTTGAGGTTATCTCACAAACATCTATTTGCGTCAAATTGTGTTTGCTTTTGAGTTATATCATGTTTAATCAGCCTGAAATTTCTACCTACAATTTAAAAGACATCATATCTTCACAATAGGAGAACGCTGACGCTGACACGGGACAAGTGTAATCTAGAAATTTTTGAAGGAGAGAAAGGAGTATGACAATCAAAGAGGCCCTAAACGCGCCCTACAATTGTAGGGATGACTGACGATACGGGCCTTATTTAACTCTTTTGACGGTAATCTCTAGCTTTCGGCATTTCTCTATGAAGCCTTCATCAGGAGTCTTCGTTGAGGTTGCAGCCAAATGGTGTTTCAAAACGAACGCGGGGATGAGAGCACTTGTTACAAATATAAAACCAACCGAACGGACATTGGGATTATTGATAACGACGGATACCATCGTTAGGTGTTAACACTATAAATCAATACACCCGAACATATTAAAAATTAACGAGGAGCAATTTTGGGGACAAAACCGGAACGCCGTTTCTAACCTCCTACATCTGCTTCACGTGTAGAAGGTGGGCGGAACGGAAAATATTTCCGTTCCGTCGTGAAGCGACGCTATATATATCCGAATTCCAGAGCCCAAAAAGGGGTCTGAAAGATCCTAGTGTCATCTGTGAGCTAAAGCAGAACACAAAAATGAATTTAGAAATATTCTTTGAAAGAAGTTAAGAGTGTTTGGTTTTGCTGTCTCAAAGATGGCGCTAGTAACTTCAACCCCTTTTTGGTGCCTATCTCTAATGCCAATTTTGATTGGGTATCTTCAGGTAGAATACAAGGGAACGCGCAAGGCGGCGTCGAGTCCAGAAACAAATATAACGAAGCGGTGTGCGATGCCAAAGCCCAGCACGATATAAAGATAGGCACAGGTTAATTTCTCAACGCAATGCCAGGACGATTTAAAAATTAGGCACAGGTAAAGACGCAATTCAATGGCTGTCGGTCTTTCTAATCGCTGGCCAAGCAAATTGAAGGAAACTGCTCAAAGAGTAGCCTTCCACCGCATAAGTGACCACAAAACCAGCAGAACTTAGCCTCGACTACCGCTCTCCTCCACGACGCCGCCGCGGAATGCCTGCCAGACAGACCCGCCTGACTTCGATCTCCCATCTTAACCGTGTCGAACTTCGTACATGGTAATGGTAGTTTTGACATGTAACCTCCAATATAAAATTTACG